CGGGAGGCGCTCGGCCGGGGTGCCGCGGACCCCCAGAGTTTACCGGAAGTGGGCCGCGCGGGCAGACCTTTTCACGCCCACCGGGCTCCGCGGGGTTCGCAGTCGTCGCGGGACAAAAGGGCACCGACTCGGAGCACACCCCATTTTCTGCTCTCCCTCTGGAGCCTCTGCCGGCCCGGGCCTCATGGTCTCAGCGAGAGGGCTGTGTGGGGCCGGGCCGCTGGGCCGGGCACCTGGGCTGGGCTGGGATCCTGGGCTGGAGCAGGCGAAGGCGCCCGCGGGCCGCTGAGGTGGTTCGGGCGGCCTGGGCCGCTTCACTTTCCTGGGTACCGAGCGGATCTTAAACTTAATGTGAAAAGGAGTCCTGGAGAGGTGGTGGGGTCCTAACCTGCCAATTGCCGGACTAGTTTCCGTGTTCTGGTCACCGGCGGGCGCTACTCGCTACTCTACGCAAGTGTTTGATAAGTAGCATAAACACGGAGAACTTAATGAGGCTACTATTCCCATAACTGAAACCGTAACATTTTGTGATGGAACTCTTAAAAGCAACAGTAAAATGTTCTCAGAGTAACCAGCAGATAACCGGATTTGTGTGAATGGTCTCTTAATGAAAAAGTAATTTGTCAACTGCGTGCTAGAACACGTGGAGAGCACGCCTGTAGTAGGCACTTTTTTCAAACAGCTTTACAGCTACTGTTCACATATCACAGTGTTTCGAAACACTAGTTATGATTTGCGTTGAGTCTTATGCTCCCCTTCCCTTTTCTTTTTTGCAGAAAAAGAACAGCAAGAAGCAATTGAACATATCGATGAAGTACAAAATGAAATAGACAGGTAAAGATTTTTTTTAGAGTTTATCTGAAATCCATCTGATAATCCAGTAGTAACTGAAAGCAACGAAACTCATCTATTCACCAAGGGGAGAGTCTGTAAATACATAAGTACATATATACAAGTATATACATGTATATATATTTCCTGGTGGGGAATATTATGTACATCCAGTGGTATTTTTCCTGTGAAATAACTTGTACAATTACAGTTAGGTATTGATGAAGACTGCATCATCCTTCAGTGGATGTTTTGTGGTTTTTATTTTCATGGGTAGTGTTTCCCCATATTGTCCCAACTGCCCTTGTCCCCAGCTCTTGGGCTCTAGTGATTCTTCCTCTAACTCTCCCACAAGCTGAGATAGTCAAGCCTGGCAAGCTGGGGATGTATGTAGTCCAGTGATGGATTGCTTGCCTGGAATAAACAAGCTCTAGTTTCAGTCTCCCAGAATGTAAAAAAAAAAAAACAAAACAAAACCATGCAGCCACCTTATGGAATAAGAATTGTTTACTTAGTTCATGACTTTGTTATTTGACCAACAGGTTATTTAGAATTCCTACTTGAATGAGACAATTGGAAGTTTTGCCTGAAAATGAGGGGTGTTTCTTTTTTGTTGTTCCTTTGTGTGCCTGTCCTAAGTCTTGAATTCAGTACCTTGAGGTTTTTGCTCAAGGTACTGTTTTGCCAAACTTGAACCACAGCTCCACTTCCAGCTAATTGTTGGTAATTGGAAATAAGAGTCCCCCACATACTTAGTGCAGGGGCTGGCTTCAAACACTGATTCTCAGATCTCAGCCTTCAGAGTAGTTATGATAAAAGCAGCATGAGCCATCATCCTCCAGGCTAAGTACTTTAAATATGCTGTTCAAATGTTACTGAAGTTAAAATTCTTGCTTGAACAGAACAGTTGGGGTTCTGCCTGGTAATGAGTACTTATAATATACAATGTTCCATGAACACCTAGTTTAAGTACTCTTAAGAATTAACCCTTTGTGGGCTGGGAAGGTGGCTCAGTGGTAGAGCACTTGCCTTGCATGCCTGAGGCCCTGGGTTTGATTCCTCAGCACCACATAAGCAAAAAGAAAAAACCAGAAGTGGGGCTGTGGCTCAGGTGGTAGAGTGCTAGCCTTGAGCTGAAGAGCTGAGGGATAGTGCCCAGGCCCCACGACCGGAACCCCCCCCAAAAAAAAAGAACCCTTTGGGCTGGGAAGGTGGCTCAGTGGTAAAGTGTTTGCCTTGCATGCCTGAGGCCCTGGGTTCAATTCCTCAACACCACATAAGGAGAAAAAGCAGGAAGTGGTGCTGTGGCTCAAATGGTAGAGCACTAGCTTTGAGTGCCCAGGCCCAGAGTTTAGGTCCCACGACAGACAAAAAAAAATTACCCTTTTGCATTGCTTACTGGTAAATAAATGGAAATTTTGCCATATTTGAACTGCAGTTTACACAATATTTATTACCTGTTTTATGCAGTCCTAGAGCAAACAAGTATGTATTCTGCAGCTATGGCCATTCACATCTGCAGGTAAACCACCATTGTCTACATGTGTTTTCTTTGCTTTAGACTTAATGAACAAGCCAGTGAGGAGATCTTGAAAGTAGAACAGAAATATAACAAACTCCGCCAACCGTTTTTTCAGAAGAGGTCAGAATTGATCGCCAAAATCCCAAATTTTTGGGTAACAACATTTGTCAACCATCCACAAGGTATGTTGTGGGGCAGGGCATTATTACAAGTTGATGGGCAGAAGAGCCTGGATGAGGATTTCATCCAATGTATGCTAAGTGCTGACAGAGGGCAAAGCTGTCCTTGAAATTTACAATAATGTGTCTAATGTGGAACTGAGTTTAGGTACTTAAAGTTTTGGCTTGGTCTTGTTACTTATGAGTTGTGAAATCTAAAGAAAGTATGAAAGGAGACTCTGAGTGGTGAGTGTTTGCCTGACATGCAGTTTTCCAATGCAGTGTCTGCACTGCTGGGGGAGGAGGATGAAGAGGCCCTGCATTACCTGACCAGAGTTGAAGTGACAGAATTTGAAGATATAAAATCAGGTTACAGAATAGATTTTGTAAGTAGCCACAATTTTGTTTGCCAATGTGGAGAATAATTGGAGATGTGATGTTGAAGCCCTGTGGCATTGATTTCAAATCCTCCACTCTTTTATAGTATTTTGATGAAAATCCTTACTTTGAAAATAAAGTTCTCTCCAAAGAATTTCATCTGAATGAGAGCGGTGATCCATCTTCAAAGTCCACTGAAATCAAATGGAAGTCTGGAAAGG